AAAGCTTCGGAGAGCATGCAAAGAGGCAAAGCTGCTGGTGAGGATTAGGTAATATCATATCTGCTGAAAGATGGAGGACAGATTGTGTTAGAAAAACTAGCCACCCTGTTTACGAGGTGTCTACTGACGGGAAGAGTACCAGAATGTTGGAAGAATGCCAACATCATCTTGATACATAAAAAAGGAGACGACAAGGACTTGAAGAATTACAGGCTGATCAGCTTGCTCTTTGTAGTATACAAGCTATTTACAAAGGTAATTGCTAACAGAGTAAAGAAAACATTATAATTCAATCAACCAAAGGAAGAAGCAGGATTTCAAACAGGCTACTCAACAATTGACCACATTCATACTATAAATCAGGTAATACAGAAATGCTCAGAATATAACCAACCACTATACATAGCCTTCATAGATTACTAGAAGGCGTATGATTCAGTAGAAATATCAGCCGTCATGCGAGTTATCAGCCGTCATGCGAAATCAGGGTGTCGATGAAGTGTATATAAACATCCTGTAAGAAATCAACAGGGGATCAACTGCTACCATAGTACTCCATAAAGAAAGCAACAGAATACCAATAAAAAAGGGTGTAAGGAAGGGGGATACAATCTCCCCAATGCTATTTACCGTGTGCTTACAGGAGGTTTTCAGAGGCCAAGAATTGGAACAGTTGGGCATAAGAGTTAATGGAGAGTACCTTAGTAACCTGCGCTTCGCCGATGACATTGCATTGCTGAGTAACTCAGGGGACGAATTCTAACTCATGATTACGGAGTTACACAAGGAGAGCAGAAAGGTGGGTCTTCAAATTAATCTGCAGAAAACGAAAGTAATGTACAACAACCTCGGAAAAGAGCTGTGCTTCGAAATAGGTGATAGTGCACTTCAAGTTATAAAAGACTATGTCTACTTAGGGCAGCTAATAACCGCAGAACCAAATTACGAGACTGAAGTAACTAGAAGAGTAAGAATGGGGTGGAGCACATTCGGCAAGCACTCTCAAATTATGACAGGTAGATTGCCACTATCCCTCAAGAGGAAGGTACGTAACAGCTGTACCTTACTGGTACTTAGCTACGGAGCAGAAACCTGGAGACTTACAAAGAGGGTTCAGCTTAAATTGAGGATGACCCAGCGAGCAATGGAAAGAAAAATAGTAGGTGTAACCTTAAGAGACAAGAAGAGAGCAGAGTGGATTAGGGGACAAACGGGGGTTAAGGATATCATAGTTGAAATAAAGAAAAAGGAAATGGACATGGGCTGGGCATGTAGCGTGTAGACAGGACAACCGCTGGTCATTAAGGGTCACTAACTGAATTCCCAGAGAAGGCAAGAGAGTTAGGGGGAGACGGAAGGTTAGGTGGGCAGATGAGATTAAGAAGTTTGCGGGTACAAATTGGCAGCAGCAAGCACAGAACCGGGTTACCTGGCGGAACGTGGGAGAGGCCTTTGTCCTGCAGTGGACGTAGTCAGGCTGATGATGATGTTCTAAATCATTTTAAATATACTGACAAATTCAGTTTTTCTAAGAGATGCATGTCACTGATGTCACTAAATTGTTTTTTCAGTGTTTCCATCGCAGCCTATGCATGCACCTCGTACGAACTTAGTGTGAAAGAATTCCGAACAAGCCTGTCATCGATGGTGGCATGTGGAAAAGTTGGCTACTGAATGTACAGCAGCTGCGCATGGCTTCTGTTTCCTACGAAAAGGGAACTTCCCTGAGCAACCTGGTTGCTGTATTCAAGTAGCTCGCATGTTCAGGATGTTCAATATCAAGCCTTTTGTTTTTCTGATTTGTGGAGTTTAACATCCCAAAACCACCATTTGATTATGAGAGACGCCGTAGTGGAGGGCTCCGGAAATTTAGACTACCTGGGGTTCTTTAACGTGCACCCAAATCTGAGTACACGGGCCTACAACATTTCCGCCTCCATCGGAAATGCAGCCGCCGCAGCCGGGAATCGAACCCGCGACCTGCGGGTCCGCAGCCGAGTACCTTAGCCACTAGACCACCGCGGCGGGGCCTTTTGTTTTTTCTTTTGTTTTTCTTAAAAAAAAAAAGTAAAAGTCAGTGCTGTAACTTGTGTGTGTAAAAGCCACCTTTGCAGATAGCTAAATGTTCAGGGGAACACAATGTGCAACAATAATTATCACTGTCAGCCGTGCCCTTGAATAAGATTCAATAATGACTTCAATAATTCAATAATAAGATTCAATTAGTGACTGCAGCAGGTGGCCATACATGTTTTAAAATTTTGAGCTAGTCACATTTCTACACAGGTCCAAAGAATTCTCGCATGCCTGTGCTCAGATATCCCACCGGAAAGTATAGTTGTGGCTTGTATCATTATGCATGCAGGACAGTGAGTACACATCTACTACTCCCTGAGGTGCTACACATAATCTGATCATGTATCGAAGCCATAGAGCAGCATTATAATGGTTACCTTTTTACTATCGGCTGGAATAGCAAGCACTGACCAGGGAGTATAATGTTTTGGTGATCCTCGCTGGTTTGCACGCGTAATCATGAAAACCACAGTAAACTTCCGAGAGGAATATCTCAGAGCATAGACATGCTCGAAGAATTTTTTTCAAGTGGGAGTGTGTAGATACACGACTGCCACAAACTGTTCTATGCAAACATACCTGTTTATTGTAGGCACCAAAATTTCGGTATTCTTAGTTGATTTGGCAGCTGGCAGCATTATTGTCTTACTTTGTGTTCCCCTGGACACATATCTTATCTGCAAAGGCAGTTTTCTGTTCATATGACTGAATTTATTTACAAGCACAAAGAACGTCTCTAAATGTGTCAGTACTGCTTTCTAAGGTTTTATGCCATGTTTAATTTTTGTGTAATCTGCAGCTAGTCACTTAATATTTAACTTTTTGCATTGCAATAAGGCTGTAGCAGATCAATGGTTTTATTTTCACTGTAATATTAACTGAATATTTTGTTTCAATGTTTTTGTAACCTTATTTCATTGTCTTCTCGAATTTAATGCCGTAAGTGCAATCAAGTGATTTTCTACTGTCACACTTAATCATACCTAACTTTGCCAATACCTACCATGCATGATATATTACAGTAATACCTAATCATGTTTAACATTGGTAATGATGACTGACAGAAGGCATTCTGGAATACTGTAGCATGTTTTACTTCACTGTGCCTTTTCTGCGAGTATTTTGGGATGGAATTAGAATTCGGGGTGTTGCCAAACCCACAATTTGATTGTTAAACACAAATTTGTGGTGAAACCCATTCATTTCACCTACTCATGGTTCTAACATACCTAAATTTAAGCACACTGGGTGAGAAAAAAAACAATTGTTCGACTGCTGCTTTTTGGCTGTAAGAAACTTTCTACCTTCCTACATCTGCTACTGGGCCAATGTGTTTGCTAAGCTAGCCTGCTAAATTTCGTTGCACTGATAGAAGTCTGCTCGAAGAGAACAGTTTGTGCCTGTTGTATGTGTGCAAATTTCTGGACCAGTCCTGGCCAGCCCCTCAATCTGGCCAGGACTGGTCCAGTATCTGGCCAGCCCCTCAATCGGTTTGTACAATAACAGTTGCCCTAAAGCATGCAAGTTTTGGGACAAAGTAGTTGTCATTGCTATGTATAATAAAAGTTACAAGTATGCAACCAGATTTGTTGAAATTTCGCATTTACTTTTAGATGTGCAGTATGATGCATTCCAGGCAACACCAGAAACAATAATGAGTTGAGGTTTAAAAGCCCATCTTGTCTCCAAGCAAAACATAGTATCGTAATGATAGACGGCAGTCACTAATTAATTCTTTCAATAAATATGGCACCAATTTTGCTGATTAGAATAGTGCCAGCAATAATTGGATGCCAAATTATGTTGCTGTCCCTACTTGTCACTCAACAGTGAACAGCTAAATGCACCAATTGTAAAACGCTGACATGATGCAACAAATTAACCACGGGAAACACTGAACAAGCTGGTTTGCATGAAAAATAAATGTCTAAAGGTTTTGAAAGATCTAGCAAAAGTCTTTTTAAAATCATGGCAAGAAGTTTACTAGGCTTCTAATATTGTAAGTACAGTACACGTTTACAAAGGTTCTTTAAAAAATTTAGAAAGACGTTTTTTAGAATTCTTGCTAGAAGTTTTCCAGCCGTATTCCAAACGTGGCATTAGCTCTGCTACAGGAGGTTTTCAAGCTGCTTAGGTTTAAATAACATCTGAACAAGACTATCTTATATACTTTTGGACTATTCTTTTTGGACATTTACTAGAAGTTTTTTAGCTTTCCTTGTGTTTTGTGCGGATATATTATTACTTCATAGCAGACAAACACACAGACACAAGATCCGCGGTACGTCACACGCGCAAAATGCTGCCCTGGAAATTATGATTCGAACGGACGTGTCGTCTTCCCTTATCGTAAGGTTCAAGCACCCCCGCTCCTCCCCCAAACCCCCCCCTTTTTTTTTTCGCGAAACGTGCCGCTCGCCGACGCCAAAACGAGACGCCGGTGATGACGGCACCCCACGGTCATCGCACACAAGCCGCCTGGGCGGCACGAATGCAAAGCAGGCATCACGTAGAAATACATCGTCCTACACTGCAGCCAAAACAAGCGCGGCACGGCGGAAATCTGCAAAACCAAACACGCCGGCGTTCGCCTTGCGCTCAAGTCACCCTCGGGCTTGTGCAGAAATGAAGGCGCATGCCAGTCATTAGGAAAACATGACATCACTTTTTGTCTTGGTGAATAGTTTCCTGGCTCGGTTGTTTTTCTCTTCACGCTCGCATGAGCGAGGCGCGCCTTCGGCTGTGCCCCGTTCAAGTGGCAGCGGACGAGCTTCGGCCAATCGCCCAATGGTGCACGACGAATAAAACCACAAACACGCAAGCATGCACGGCGACAACACACTGTACCAATACTGCGACGACTGGCAGCAGCGCGAATCTGTAGATCGCAAACAGGCGGAAGTATGCCGCAGCGCAGTACTCACTTGAAAAATAAGGCTGCCGATGTTGAGGGTGTCACCGGGAAAGACCATCGTGTCTGAGAACCTTTCTACACTGGCCATGCAGGTGTTGCGTGGCGAATGGTTTATCACATGTCACACGCGCACAGATTGCAGCTTTGCAGTAGCCTTCCAGCACCGCAACAGCAGCAACTACAGAACCCGCAGACTTCGCCCAACACCAGTGACACCGAAGGCGGCCGAACCACAACCAGAGAACACCTGCCCACTCCAGCTCGCATAGAGCTAATGCATTACTATTTTCACTATTTTACTCTATGGCTAATGGACCTTTTTTACGGAGATGAGGATTTCCTCTTTTCTACACAGTTATTCAATCATATGATTTACGAAACTGCGTTCCAAAACCCGGACACGCCATTGGTCGACCTATCGAGAGTGAGTAGGATGCCTTGATGCCCGCGCGCTCCGCTGAGGGTGAGGACACCCGCGTCGTCTGCTACGACCGCCGCCATTGCGTCTCCCCACCACAACTCGACTAGAGTGTACTAGAACTTTTGAGTGGCGTGACCGAAACGCTTTCCCCTTGCTTTCTACATCCCCAACTTGTGGCGAAAGTAGCGGTGGGGCTGCCATCGCCCAATCTACCCACTTGGTTTACTCGGCGGCATGGCCGGCATCTCGGTTTTAGTCGCGAAATGACGAAGAAGCAGCGTCTAAACCATTGTTACGCGCCAGGTTGCACAACTGGATATCCGCGTGTGCAACAAAGTCGGAAGTTATCGCTTTTTAAGGCCCCGAAAGACGAAGAATGACGACTTCTTTGGGAGCGGAACCTCCATCGGCTTGACAAGCCACTTGACGCCGATTGTGCTGTGTGCGAGTTACATTTCGAACCCTATTTCATTGTGAGAGACTACGTACATGTTATCAATGGTGTTCAAGTCCGAATTCCTAGGGGAACGCCGACACTTGCCCCTGATGCAGTCCCGACGATCTTGCCCAACCTGCCTGCATATTTGACGCTCATAACTCCGGCTCCGCGGACCCAAACAAAACGGCGGCATCAGTGTGTGCCGGCTGAGAATGACAACAGAAAACGGCGACGCATTAGCACTCCTGCACAGCTCCTTGTGGATACCAACGGTGCAACTTCTTCAGATGGCGACGAAGCTGACGAGACAAGCTCAAGTCCCTCGTCTGACGCGGTTGTCACTCTCGGTCACCTTCGTGGTCTTGTCCTACCATCAAAGTCATGGGCGCTGCACGAGTTTCCTGGATTTGACGGCGTGTGGTACGTAGCGTGCTCACTGAATCCTAGCACTCGTGAACTTTGCATTCAACGAGCCGTATACTTCACCTGTTTGAACAAGTCGCGGGATGAGAAACGAAGAAGCGCACAGCAGCACTTAAAATTGAGTAGGCTATAAAATGCTACAGTGGCGTAAAAAGGATGTCATTTTTCGTGCATATTTTCTTACACACTTAATTTTTGGACGGTACACTAAGAAGAAAAACAATTTTTCCTAGAAGAGGCCTGTAAGCGAGAGAACGTGCAAATAATGACGCGAAATCTCAAAATAAATCTTTGATCTTGAATCTTTTTGTATTAAACCTGTGATGGTAAATTTAGCAGCATTAGGGATCTCGGTGCATAATTAATCAATCTAAGCCAATTCATTGTTACACTTCAGTGTCCCTTCAAACGATGTTTCGACCATAACATCTTTTTTTTATTTAAATGCATTTTGGAAAGACAACCTAAACTGTCGTTTTGTTTGCTTTGTTTTATATTATCTTTTGTATCCTGGCTCTATATTTTACGTTTTTTACAATTTACCTAAGTCCAAATGTATTGTTTTTTAAATATGTAAACCTTGCATTTTTATATTATCAATTAAGATTATCATTAGTTACGACTTTGCTTTGCAGTATTGTTGCGTTTTTTAAACTCTCAAAATCTTCTACTACTATGTTTCACCTAAGACATTCTTCTGCAGTATTACGTATTTGCATTTCTGTGGGTCCTACAACAATGAATCTATTTCCATATTTCAAAACCAAAAGAGGTTTGGAAAAACTCTGCTGTTCTTCAAATAATATCAATAAAGCCTACTTTTTTGTCGTGTGTGCACGCAGCCACAAGCAACGAGCCTTTTATTTGAGTCCAGCTTTGGTGTTTTACGTGGAATCAACCAAGAGTTCTTCGTTTTGTGTGCAGCATATTCCTTTTTTTGGGGGGGGGGGCGCTTCTGGTGTGTACCGGCCAGCTGGTTTCTCGTATAAAATATGTACACTTTAAAAATTAAAAAAAAACGCGCTCGTTATATTGTACAATGTACTATGCTGCTTCGGGCTGCAGTGCGGTCAGCAGCAACTTCAATAACAATAATGTCAAATAACGTTTACTTGCGCGGAAAAGGGGAGGTATGTGAATAAGAAAAAAAAAGAGGGAGATCATCTTCACACTTGGCGCGACAGAGAGGTACCAACACGCACGCGGAACGCCTGCCAGCCATCCGCCCGGGTAGATTGGTCGACGCCAGCGCCACCGCATCATTCCACGCCGAAACGGCCGCTCCCAGGCAGCCGCTCGCGCCACTCAAAAGCTGCTAGTACACTCTAACTCGACCGTATGCGAAGCCCGCTACGCAACGCGCGTGTGGTGCCCTGATACGCCCGGAACCATGCGCAAGCTAGCGAGCTTCTCTTCTTATTGAAGCTTGGACATCTTTTAGAGTTAATTTTGCCTGAATGCGTGCAGGGAGCGCATATTTCATGTAAGCTGGCGGCTTGCGCATGATTCATGCGCCAGAGGCAGACGCTGACTCTTTTATGTTGAAAACAAATCCCTACGCCGGTTACCACAGAGGGGATTCTAAATCTATATCGGTGGTGTCGTTTATATGCTTTCTTTGTTAGTGTTAATTATTATCTGAGGCTTTTACGTTCTAAAATGACGCCTGATTGCAGGACTGCAGCAATTCTGACAATCAGTTTTTTTTTGCCTGCACTGACACATTACATGGGTGTCCTCTGGTGTTTTACGTTATTCAAAATGAGACCGCCGTGGCCTAGATCGAAAGCGCGAGTCTCGCGTCAGCAACCGAGCACCGTGCCCACGGTACCACTGAGGCGGACGCCTTTCTTATTGCATTAACTATTTCTCCACGATCTTCTCATCGCATGACTTGACTTTTTTTGTTTTTTGCGACATAGCGTGTTCATTCTACACAGCGGTGCCCCGTCTTGTTTTCATGCATCTTTTTTGTATGGACGCTTCGCGAGTACAGTTTGCATAAGCACTTGTGTATGATCCCTGATAGCTCACAGTATTACTAAATAAATTATTTACTTAAATAATAATGCGCGCTGAAAGAGTTTAAATACTGACGGTGTGTGTGTGTGCGTGTGTACACGCCTGCCGTTTCCCCCGTTATCATCCAGTGTAGAAATAATTTATTTTTGCGCATTAATGCAGCGCTGCCAGAAGCAATTCAAATTATACGCTCCATGGCAGAATTCACTGAGTACTGTCACTAGTTACTTCGCAGTGGTCGTAAATGATTAAAAAAACAGCATCAATTGCGTAATGATTCGAGACAGGACGAAAAGAAAACTTGAAGTACAGGAACAATGAAAAAAAATTGAACTGCGCACATTCTTACAAGGGCCATCACACCAGCGTAGAAGGCGTACCTAAACCGAGGAAAAGATCGTAGAAAGAAAGAACCTGCGTGGCTTTGTATTGGTTCGGGCGCTCGAACGGTCGGTAATCGAATTCCGGCCGCAGTGGCCTCACTTCGATGGAGATGAAATGCCGGAGTTCTTAAACTTAGGTGCAAGTTACATAAAAACACCTGTTCAAAATTTCCCAAGCCCTCCAATGTATACCGCGTCTCTCGTGATCATATGGTGATTCCGGAACGTACACACACTCTTCAAACTGCATTGGCTATGACACCAGCCCCGCCGCGGTGGTCTAGTGGCTAAGGTACTCGGCTGCTGACCCGAAGGTCGCGGGTTCGAATCCCGGCTGCGGCGGCTGCATTTCCGATGGAGGCGGAAATGTTGTAGGCCCGTGTGCTCAGATTTGGGTGCACGTTAAAGAACCCCAGGTGGTCGAAATTTCCGGAGCCCTCCACCACGGCGTCTCTCATAATCATATAGTGGTTTTGGGACGTTAAACCCCACATATCAATGGGTACGACACCACCGCTGCGCAAAGCTTTATTCCCACAAATGAATATTACGAAAAAAAACAAGGATATCATCTGCAAAGAAGCACGTGTAATGTATATTTAAGGATAAATTTCTCATCGCACATAGTGAAACCAAGAATGAAGGGCAGATACGGTACCAACCAACAAGCAATGTTTACGAAGTGAAATACGCGATTCATGCATACGAGAATCAAGCATACAGACTTCAGCGTGTCTGTTGCTTACACGAAATTGGTGCCGGTACAAATTATGCATGCGGAATACCGGCTGGAAACTTACGCTGTGAATGGATGATCTGTTTGTCGGATGCCACTTGTCATGTTTGATTTTCACTGTTGAAAAGGCCTTCATTTCGGGTCTCTTAGGAAACGATACAGCTTCCAGAGTTTCTGCAATGATTAGTGCCCTGCGGCACGCAATACCCGCTACGGTGACGGTAGCGAGCGCCAGCACAATTATTCGGGCAGCGAACACGCAGAAGTGACTGAGTGGAGTCAAAATGGCGGCCATGCCGCCGTTAAGGCCGAGGAGGCGGCACCTGCCCTTACAAAGGCTGACACCACTCTAAGCGGGGGCGCGCGCATCGGATGTGAGCGGATTGTGTGTGAGTGAGCGGATTGTCACGCCCTCTGGGAGCAATATTACAAAACACTGCATCACCACTTGTGCGTGTGCTTTTTTTAAGGCTGCTCAACGCCGCGTGTAACACTGGCGTCGCCGCCTCAATAAATGACTTTGGCTTGCACGGCGCCCGCCGCCGCTGTCAGCGGTTTTCGCTCTGCAAAAGCATAATCAAAGCGTCAAGTTTTATTTCGTCGAAGGTGGTGCTTGCAATTTCGTGCTACGCCCCGACTTTAAGGCTGCGCCCCGACTCCTCGTTTGCTCGTTTGAAAACGTGCGCTTGAGATCAATTGCTCACGGGAAGTTTGACGAATCCTTTTAACTGTGCCACTCTGCGGTTCACGATGTGTCTCACTAACACGACGTGAGTGATGGTCGCACAAACAAGCCACAGATACGGTAGAGTGCAAACCAAAGCACAACCGTACCGATCAGTACTTACCGCGAATTGGCCGCTTTATCTTGCACGCAGCGGTCAAATTCCACCAATCGCGAAATCAATTATAAAAGCCCGATGACAAAAAATTGGGAACATTGAACATTGCTATTTACTTGCAACTAGCACTGCAAGTGCTCTTTTCAGGTGCGATATTC